ATATCTAAATGCTCATACAGACACATGCACATTTGCGATCTACTGAATGTCATTTTGGAAGGTTCTGGCAGTGCTCCTCTTGTTCCTCCTTGCACAAAGGTGGAGGTAGCGGTCCTTATGCTGGGTTGGTGCCCTCCAATGGCCTCTGCCACATCTCCTAGTGTACTGGCTTGTCTCCTGGTAGCATCCCCAGCCTCTGGACAATAGGCCAACAGACACAGCAAACCTTGCCACAGCTCCCATCGCCATCCTGGATGAGCTGCAGTATCTAAGAAACTTCTGGGGGTTGTTGTGATGTTAAACTCAAGTCAATCTACTGGAAAAAACGTTGACCTTTTTGAAGCAAAAACGTCATTGAGAAGTGTTTTGTGCGCACATCTGTCATGTGACCACTGCAAGGGAGGTTTCGTGACATCACGCTTCATATAGGGCTTCACAGTAAATTTGAATAATCTGGGTGCTTCAATGCTAATTATGTGCTTGAGTTATATCAGATGGATGCATGCTGCAATTACGGTCTTATTGAAAGACAGTGAACATTTTTTTTTATTTAGGTCTAGTTCAGAATTGTTTCAGAAAAGCTTGCAACATGGACATAGATCTAAATTTGACAGAGACACAAACACATTACAGACTCACACAGAAAAATACACACACCTCTACTCACAACAGTCATCCAGCAAAAGTTTACACTTAGGGGCAGGGCAGCAATAGAAGAAGAGCCCCACCATACCGAACAGTACTGGAAAGGCATATGGGAGAAGGAGACAACAGTGATGCACAGCAGTTGGAGGCTCTGAGAGAGGACCTCAGAAACCTCCCTGAACAGAATCCAGTCACCCTCACAGTGTCAGACATCCAAGAAAGAGTCTCAGGTATGAAGAACTGGACAGCACCAGGCCCCGATATGATATACGCCTATTGGCTTAAGAAACTCACAACACTCCAAGAACGCTTGGCAGCACAAATTAACTAGCTGCAGAGAGATGGGAACCACCCTGAATGGCTAACTGAAGGGCGCAAAATCCTGAG